CTGTTTTGATTCTCTAGTGCAGCTCCAACAGAAAATACCACAAGTGGGTGGCTGGAACAAACAAGGATTTATTCTCTTATAGTTTAGAAGACTAGAAGTCAGAGTTCAAAGTGCCAAGTTCTAGGCCCTTGACCTTGAGCTTCAGCTCTGCCTCTTACTCCCCACTCACTGAAGCTAGAGGCTTCTCTTAACTGCTGCTAGTTGCTGAGGCTGACAAACCCAAGGTCAACACAATGGCACAGTCCCAAGATTATCAAACAACACAGCAGGTCACTAGTACAAGTCCAGAGATAGTCCCAATATTGGCAGACCACCTGGCAGGCCACTCACTGATGGCTTGGCGAAATGCAGGATCCAGGAATACCAAAAAAAGGGTCCAGAGACCCTTCTCAATGTTTCTTCTTATATACTGGAAGCAGACGACATCCCTAAGGCAGCGCCTCAGCTGCTTTGGTAAATTCCCCCATGGAGTTGATTACCAGTCTCACCATGGGAAATAACTACATCCAGCTGCTCAGCCACTCAAAACCAGGCCTAGCCAAGTTGACACATAACCTTAACTACCACATGGACCAATAAGCAACATCATGATAAACATAGAAAAGACTGAAGCTGTCAAGGATTTCATATTACTTAGATCCACAATCAACGTCCATGGAAGCAGGAATCAAGAAATCTAAGGACATACTGCTTTAGGCAAATCTCCTGCAAAAGACCCCCTTAAAATGTTAAAAAGCAAGCTATCACTTTGAACACTAAGGTGCGCTTGACCCAAGCCATAGTATTTTCAATAGTCTCATATGAATGCAAAAACTAGACAATGAATGAATACGGGAAGACCAAAGAAGAATTGATGCATTTGAATTATGGTATTGAGGAAGAATACTGAATACACCACATACTGCCAAAAGAACAAACATCTGTCTTAGATTAAGTACAGCCAGAATGCTCCTTTAGAAGTGAGGGTGGTGAGATTTCACCTCTTGTACTTTGTCATGTTGTCAGGAGGGGCTAGTTCCTGGAGAAAGATATTATGCTTGGTAAAGTAGAAAGTCAGCAAAGAAGAGGAAAGCCCCCAACAAGATGGACTGACACAATGACTGCAACAGTGGGGTCAAGCACAGCAAGGATTTTGAGGATGGCACAGGACCAGGCAGTGTTTTGCTCTGTTGTACATAAATTCACTAGGAGTTAGAACTGGCTCCAGGGCACCTAACAACATAAATAACATACTTGTGGACATACTTCCATTTGGGAATAGGGTTCTTTGTTTTATTAAAGAACCATATCAGTTTAGGGTGTGTCTCAAGCCAATCACCTTTGAGATATAAAATGAGCAGACTAGGCACAGAGAAGCAAGTAGAGATGGGGGAAAATAGAGGCCTGCCACATGAAGATCTTCAAGGAACCAAGGAACAGAAGCTGAAAAGAGATGAGGACCTTCACCCAAAGCCAAAAGAAAGAGGAAGACTTCCCGTAGAGCCAACATCCTGAATTTGGACTTCTTGCCTCCTAAACTGTAAGAAAACTTACATCTGCTTGTTAAAGCCACCTGATTGTGTTATTTTTGTGTAGTAGCACTAGATAACTAAGACAGGTGGGCAAAGGGAGGAGGAAGAAAGAGGTGGAGCAGAAGGTATTTTAAGGGCAATCAAACTATTCTGCATAATAATATAATGATGGACACATGACATTATGCATCTGTCAAAAAGCATGAAACTATAAAACACAATAGGTGAACTCTAAGATAAACTGTGAACTTTAGTTAATAATAATGTATCAAAATTGGTTTATCAATTATAACAAATGTACCACATTAATGCAAGATATTAATAATTAGTGCATCTGTGTTGGGGGGCATATGGGAACTCAATAATTTCTAAACAATTTTTCTGTAAACCTAAAACTGCTCTAAAAATAAAGTCTATTCCTTTTTTTAAATTATATGAAAATCAACAATATTATTAAATCTTGGCTATTATAACCAGAAGAAAGTTCTGAGACCTGTTCTGTTTTAAAAAGGAGACTAACAAAGGTTGGAGGCCATTAATGACATGTTGTTGTTGTTGTTAGGTACCATGGAGTCGTTTCTGACTCATAGTGACCCCACGCACAGCAGAATGAAACATTGCCCGATCCCGCACCAGCTCCATGATCCCTGCTATTACTTGAGCCCATCATTGCAGCCACCGTTGTCAATCCATCTCGTTGAAAGCCTTCCCCTCTTTTGTCGACCCTCCACCCTACCAAGCATGACATCCTTCTCCAGGAACGGTCCCTTCTGACAACATGACCAAAGTAGGTGACAAGAAATCTGGCCATTCTCGCTTCCAAGGAACATTTCAGCTGCACTTCCTCCAGGACAAATCTGTTAGTTCTTTTAGCAATCCATGGTACTTTCTGCATTCTTCACCAGCACCATTACTCAAAAGCATCAACTCTTCTTCGATCTTCCTTATTCATTGTCCAGCTCCCACATGCATACGAGGCGATTGGAAATATCATGGCTTGTATCAGGTGCACCTTAGTCCTCAAGGAGACATCCTTGCTCCTCAGCACTTGAAACAGTTCCCTCACGGTCGACTTCCCAGTGCTACACGTTGCCTAATGTCCTGACTGCTGCTTCCATTGGTATCAATTGTAGACCCATGCAACGTGAATTCTTCGACAACCTCAATCTTCTCTCCATTTATTGTAATGCTGTTCACTGGTCCAGTTGTGAGGACTTTTGTTTTCTTTATATTGAGACATAATCCATAATGCAGACTGTATTCTTCAACCTTCATCAGTAAGTGCCTCAAGTCATCCTCACTTTCAGCAAGCAAAGTTGTATCATCTGCATATCTCAGGTTGTTAATGATTCTTCCTTCAATCCTGACATGCTAGCAACCAAATGGGACTTTCTTCTGGCATCTTGAAGATGCCTTGAAAAAGGAACACAATCCTCACTATGTGGTTCACTGTTATCTTATACTTGTCAATCAATCTCACCTAAATCATCTCCTGTATCATCATCACTTAAAGATGTCTCATGGACCATCTCCTATCCTATACTTCTGGAAACAATGGGTTAAGAAAGGTCTGGTGCATAAGGGTAAGTCAGACCTGAGAGAGGGATGAAAAAACAAAAACTTAGCTCTCCTGGATCATCAACAGATTCACTTTGTTTATTCCAACCTTGTCTAAACATACTTAAAAGGTTTGCTTTTCCATTATTAGCATTTAAGTAAGTGATCAACACCACGATATGGTGAGAGCTTCTTGTCTTTGTCCTAGTTACGAACACGTGCTTCACTGTGTACTTAACAGAGCACCTTCGCAGCCTAGCAATAATCTGCCTCAGCCTTTATGCCTAATGTGTTTGGAGGCTCTCAAATGACAAGAGGCCCTCCATCTGAAAGCACAGATTATACAAATAAGTGCAAGTGCCCTCCCCCAGCTGAAGTCTGTATCTTAAAACAGGGTACCACATGTCCTGAGGCGCTGGCTCATCAAGACCCACCTGATCTGACCTCAAAGCCTTTAAAAAACAGAAAAATAAGTATCAGATGACATAATAGATGTGGAATGAAAAGCTATGAAACCCAAATGGAGCTCAGTCACATTTTTTAAATGTTTATCTAAAATGCATACAAAGTTAAGAAAAGGTTTATATGTGGAAGGAAACCTTCTTTGTTGGTTACCAGGAGTGGGAAGGGAGGGGAAGAAACACTGCAACAAAATAAATAAATAAAATGCATACAAAAAAAGTGGCTTGATTGTCCCCTCAGTGATTTGTGATCAAGCCTTTTTTACCCCATCTTTTCCTCCCAAGTTTCATTACATTAGCTTGAAGAGAATATGCGTAAGCCAGGACTTTAATTAATTTCTGGCATTGCTACTCACCCAAGCAGACAGAGTGCCACAAATACATAAAAATGAGGTAAAAGGCAGGAGTGGAAAGGGAACTTGTATACAAAAGAAAGATCAGGGTTGGGTTCCTTTGTATTTTAATCAGTCTCTCTTGAGATCCCCATTTCTTTCCTTCTCACTCCACCTTCTGCTTTCTGCCCTCTTGGCTTTGTGAACCCTCAACTTCCCAGCTTACCTTCAGTCCTTCCCTTGTTCTTATTTTCTTTGCCCTCTCATGAAACACATACATAAACTCAAACTCATAAATACAAACTTGCTCAAATGTTTGGGCACAGGAAACCCTAGTTACACTCACCACATAGGTGTTACGAAAATCCAGCCCACTATTTCCATGATTTCTGAGAAAAATACACACCCCCTGGATTCTCTCCCAGTAGCTCTGGTGATGTAGTGGCTAAGCACTTGGCTGTTAATCAAAAGGTTGCTGGTTTGAATCCACTAGCCTCTCCCCAGGAAAAAGATGCAGCAGTCTGCTTCTGCAAATAATACAGCCTTGGAAACCCTATGAAGCAGTTCTACTCTGTCCTCTAGGTTACTATGAGTTGGAATCAACTTGACAGTAGTGGATTTGGTCTTGGTTTGGCATATCCCTGGGCGGTAAGAACCAAATCCCAAGCTCAATATTCTATAGACATTTAGAGCATGAATACTTCTCTGATCATGTGAATTCATGTTTAAATAGGAAGCTTATAGACAGCAGCATCAGATGAAATTAAGACTTTAAGAAGAGAAATTTAAAAATTCACATATAGTCCTCTACTCTAGAAATGGCTGTAAGTAGAAAGAAACTTAGAAGTGTCTAGAGCCCAGCTGAGCTCTATTTAACAACATAATGTGTTACACAGATGTCCAAGACAAAAGCTCAAGTTAGCCCCAACACTTCTTCAGGTACAACCCTGGACTTAGCCTATTTTCCTCAAGATAAGGTGCTATAGTTGGTGGTGCTATTACTCTGGGCAAGTCTAGTGTGGGAAAATGGTTAGGTATTGGGAGGGAGATGAGGGTGGCACTTGTATTTTGGATTTTTCTAACAAACTCTTCCCAATCAGCCCTAGAAAAACACAAGAGTCTGTTTTAGTATTACTTACTGCCTGTCGGATATCAGTCTTCACTTGCTCACTCAACATGCCTTCAAAGACAAAGGAGTCACCAAACTTCTCAGCCTATGAGGAACGTAGGAAATAAAAATCCAGAAAAGGTTATAGTAATGCATTTCACATGTGCCATTTTCCCTGCATACTTTTAGAACTTAAGTTTCTCTTATGGCTTCTGATAGGATTCAGAAATGACTTAAAAACATCTAACTTGCTTATTAAAACAAGTCTGTAGCATTTACAGAGACCAAATTCATTTAAGATTCATTTAGTTGGTAAGAATGCAGACAGAAGAGATTATATTTTTAAGCACATGACTATTCCTACTCACAGAAGCACATCTACCTAAGTAGTAATACTTTGGAAAATAATAGTTATCCTTTACGTCTAAGGTTAAGGAGCTCTGGTGGCGTAGTTCCTAGGGCATTTGACTGCTAACCAGAAGGTTGACAGTTTAAATCCACCAGCCACTCCACAGAAGGAAGACTGGGCAATCTACTTTTGTAAAGATTTACCACCTCGGAAACCCAAACGGGGTCACTATGAGTCGGGATCGACTCGATGGCAGTGAGTTTGGTTTTGGTTTACATTTAATAAGATTAGATAATCAAACTCTACCCTTTATTCTGCTCCTATGTTGTTGTTATGTGCCGTCGAGTCACCCCCGACTCACAGCAACCCCTTCTTGGGTTTCTAAGGCAGTATCACTACAGAAGTACATTGCCCCATCTTCCTTCCAAGGAGTGGGTGGTGGGTTTGAACTGCCTGCCTTCTGGTAGCAGTCAAGTGCCTGAGGCACTATGCTACCAGAGCTCCCTTCTGCTCCTATAATCTAGCTAAGATAATTAAATGGCACTGTTTGCTGATGTTCTGACACATTTGAGCCCCACTAAGGTGTCAGCTATACTTAAAAATCTCAAGTGGCCAATTTAAGTATCAGAAAGAAGTCTATATTTTAATGATTTGATTTAATATTAGTGTCTCAAGTTCTCCTCTACCTGGTTCTCTTTGTCACATGTGACTTCATTTTGAAAACATCCACCCTAGTTCCTTGGTCTTCATGATTCCAGGACGCTACTCTTCAAGTTTTCCTCTTACATTTCTGATGGTTCCTACCTGCCTCCTGAAATAGGTTGGTTCTTCTTCTAGCTCCTAAAACACTGTTGCTCCCCAGACCTCTGCCCTAGGCTCTCTGTTCTCCTTACTCTACACCAGCGGCTCTCAGTCTGTGCAGTTAAGATCACCTGGTCAGTATGTGAACACTACAGATTCCTGTCTCCAACCCAGAGATTCTGATTCTAAGGGTTTGGGATGAAGCTGAGAAAACTGCATACATAGAATACAGGTGGTTCAAGAATTACACTTTAAGATACACTGACCTACTACTGACAACCTCTTTGATCACTTCACTTTACCACCAGCACTGCAAATGATTCTCAGATCTCTATGTCCCGTCCCAGCCTCACTAGATTAAAATTAACCGCCTACTTGTTGTTGTTGGGTGCTATTGAGACAATTTCGACACATAGTGATCTCTTGTGACAAAGTAGATTTGCCCTACAGGGTTTCCTTGGTTGTAATCTTTACAAAAGGATACTGTCATATCTTTCACCCACAGAGTAGCTGGGTAAATATGAACTAGATGAAACTGAACCTTTCATTAGCAGATAAGCACTTAACCATGGAACAACTAATAAAAAATAAAACAAACTCACTGCCATCTAGTCAGTTCTGACTCATAGAGACCCTCGTTGGGTTCCCGAAGCTATAAATCTTTACAGAAGGCAATTGTCCCATCTTCCTTCTGTGGAGAAGCTGGTGGGTTTGAACCACTGACCTTCTGGCTAGCAGCCAAATGCCTTATCCACTACAACACAAGAGCTCCCTACTGAACTATTAGCATTTCTTAACTGTTTACTAACCAAAAATACCAAACTCACTGCTGTCGAGTCAGATCCTACTCATAGCAACCCCTCCTTGGGTTTCTGAGGCGGTATCTCTACGGAAGTAGATTGCCCAGTCTTCCTTCCGAGGAATGGCTGGTAGGTTTGAACCACGAGCCTTCTGGTTAGTAGTCAAATCCCTTAGGCACTGCTCCCTAATCGCGTACTACATGCCTCTATTTTAGGCCTTGCAGCACCTCGAATTCTTTGTCTGAAACAGAGATCATTATCTTTTCTTCACAGCTGCTCTTACTCCCATATTCCCTTATGGCTACCATGCTCCAAGTACTTAAGCCATTCCTTCATTCATCAAACAGGGATCACACAAACATGTGCCTGGCTTTGGGCTAAACATGGTGATACAAGTGTGCATCAGACAGGCATGGTCCCTGTCTTTACAGCACTCATAAGCAGAGGCACAAACAAAGAAAGGAAGGAAATAATTACAATTTTCTTTCACTGTGTATGATAAAGAATATACAGAAAAGCCTCCTTTGTAGAGTGGGAGAAAAAAATGTGGAACAAAATTTTTTAAGAAAACATAAAAAAGACAAGTTTACAGGCAGGATAGAGATTGGTAGATCCCCTGAGACTACAGCCCTGAGTCACTCTTCAGGCCTGGAACTGAACTCACTCCATGGCTTACTCTCAGCCAAACAACAGACAGGCTACAAGGTAAACAACTAGACCAGGGAAATGCACTCCTCAGAACAATCTACCATGGGAAATCAGAAGGGCATATTTGCACAAAGAGAAAGGGAAGGAGGAAGAAACTCATAGACAAGAAGGACACGGGGAAAGGGCACTCACGGGGAGGAAGTGCGAGGAGAACTGTTACACTGTGGGGAATGTAAGCTGTGTCACAAAACAAAATGTGTATGAAGTACTGGATGTAAAACAAATCTGCTTTGTGAAATTTCACCCAAATCATAATAAAAAATAAAAAGAAAAGCTTCCTTTGGATTGAGTGGGTGGGGAAGCCTCTTCCAGAAGATAACATTTAAGCTGAAACAACTCAAACTTGAGAAAGAGACAGTTATGCAAAAAGTGGGACAGGGAAGGTGGCAGGAAATTCCAAGCAGAGGGGAAAATATGGGCCACGTCTGAGGTCGGAAAAGGTGTCAAGTTTTCAAAGAATAGCAACAAGAACAGCAGAGCTAGAACACAGTGAGAGAGGGGATATGATGTAAAATGAAGCTGGAGAGACAGGGAAAAAAAAGTGTGAAGTACCGTAAAAGTAGGAGGCACTCTTTTTGTCCAAGGCAGGGGTTCTTAAACCTTTGTGTGCCCTTTGACAGTATACTGAACTTTATGAACCCCTTTTCAGAATGTAATATTTAAATGCATAAAATAAATGAGATTATAAAATAAACCTATTAAAAAGAGAATTAGTTATATCAAAATATCAAACTGTGCCACAGTATATATATATATATACATATATATGTGTGTATATATATACATATATGTATGTGTATATATGGGAGCTCTGGTAGCATAGTGGCTAAGACACTTGCCTGCTCACCAGAAGGCTGGTGGTTCAAACCCACCAGCAACTCCTTGGAAGGAAGGTTGGGCAATCCTACTTCTGTAGTGATACTGCCTCGGAAACCCAAGGAGGGGTCGCTATGAGTCAGGGCTGACTCGACG